TAATATTCACTTTATGTAGCAAATATTTGTAAGGTAGATTTAAATGGGAGGTTGTGGGATGACTAAGCTGGGGAAGAATGGTTTGTCCAGGCACTTGAGATGCTGCAGGTACATCCTGGGTGAAGTGCAGCTGCCTCCACAATGATTTGGGACGTGCTTCTGTAGCTCACCCTTACGTCAGTGAGTTGTGTTGAGGCTGTGAGGGGGGGGGAGTGGATTCCTGACTCTGGGAAGGGGTGGGTAGAAGTCAAAACATCGTGTTATGTTTCAAGCTTAGTGTTTTGCTCTGACACTTGATCCAGCAGTGGCTGCCTCCAGTCCCATGGAGAGCCTGGGAAGCTTTTTTGGGTCCTATGTTACGCTTCAAGCTGTGTTTGTATTTTCATGACTTAGCTGAAAGGTGGCTCCATAAAGATTGCAGGTTGGCCTTGAATGCAAGATTCCTTCAGCTACTTGAAAACTGCTGTCTGTGTGGTAGTTAATTCTACTACATATTGGATTCAGCTTTTGGCTCTCGTAATGCCCAGAGGACACTGAGCATCTCACTTGTGAGGATGCTTTTGGAGGTGGGAAACCACATTTGTCCTGTACAAACCCCAGTGGACTGGGGAAGTTCTTAGCCTACTGCAGAAGTTCTTAGCCTACTCGCTGCGTTCTTTTAGAGTGATGGCAGTGTGGAAAAGCTGTTCCGCTTTAACGGTGGAGAATTACTCTCTCCCACTGACTGGGTATGGGGGGGCTTGAAAGGAGCCACCGTGTTCTGAACATAGTTCTTGTTTGAATGCTGCTTTGGATCCTGGAGTTGTGCCCGTGTAGCTGAGTTTTCCCAGGGCGCTGTGTGAATGCTGAGCTGTCTTTAATGAATTCAAGTGGGCAGCAGCATAAGCCTGCTCTCATTTTCCCTGGAAGACGCTGCTGCATTGTCTTGTCTGTATCCTGAAAGCCTCAGTGTTTTTTGTCAAAGGCTGGATTCTGCAAGTGCCACGTATGCAAAGAAGCCCATGAATAGGAAGGGCTCGTCGTGCTGGTTCTCAGCTCCCCACATAATGCCCAGAGGTGGGGCAACGGGCTGAGGCAAAGCAGTTTTTGTTGAACTCTGGTATTCTGTTGACATCCACTCTCCCACATGTGAGAGGTTCAAACTGCCTGGTTATGTTCTGATCATGCCCAGGAGTCGTGTTCTGCCAGGCATGTGCACTATGCCTTAAACAGCGAAAGCAGGTAGAGGTTGGCAGAAGGGAAGGGATCCCCTCGGGCCTTGTGTGTGCTCGTGGCAGGTCTGGAAGCTGTCTGCATCTCCCAACTCTCAGGCTGGTGTTGTGGCCATGGACCACCTTATTGGCAAAGTGTATTTGTGCTCTTAACTCTTTCGCTTGCCTCTCACTCATATGAGGGAAGACAAGTGATGTGACTGTGTACCAAAGCGGGATATGGATGTTGGAGGGTAGCACTGCACCCTGGTGTCAGCATCTAACGGGGGTGCTTCTGCAGGACAGTGAGCAGGTCAAACATCCATGCTGATGGCACTGGGAATGATAGTGGACAAGGGGCCTGGGTGGTCGTGAACCTTCTTCACCCAGGCGGGCAGGGGATGGTAGGCTTGGGAAAGGCCAGCCTGCACCCACTGCAGGGATTGGGAAAGGGGAGCTGCTCTGAGAGGCCTGAAGCACCCCAGGGCTGAATCTCTTCCCTTCACTGTCTAAAAGGAGAGGGTCTTTGACAAACATAAATCTCCCGTGTGGGCAATTGGTGAGTCTGTGAGTCCCAGGCAGCCCTTCCCATGGCTCAGACGCTGCCCTGGGTGCAGGGAGGCCCCGGCTGTGCATTGCCAGGGGTGTGAGTGAGCAGGCAGGAGCCCTGGCCCCAGCCATCCCTTAGCTCTGCTACTTCTAGGAAGTGATGTAAGATGCTTCTTTGTACAGATGTTTTTCTAAGCACATCCTGTATTGTGCTGATGGGTGGCTGCCTGGCTGTTCACCTTTTGAGGTCAGCTCCTCTGGAGCAGTGGGAGCTGACTCCGTTGTGTGTGTCATTTATTGTGGGTAGAATGTGCTTCTTGGTGATCTAAGCCTCTTGGAATGTGCTGGGTGAGAGCTGGATGCCGTGGAGGGCAAGGTCAGCAGGGTTTTGGTGCAGAGCTTTCAGAGAGGTCGGGGCAGGAGGGATGCTGTGGGCAGCATGCAGCAGTAGCTGAGCTGTTCACCTCTTCCTGGCCATCCCCAATGGTGGTTCAGAGCTGCTGCAGGTCTCTGCTCACCTGAGTGCTCCTGCCTGCAAACCCAGGACAGTCTGGGAGGTGATTCATGGGCTCTGCCTCTACTGCAAAAGGCTTTGGTGTAGGACTTGGGATCTGCCCTGTGCTGGGATTCAGCTGCCTTGGTAATAGATGACTCCTGAAGCAAAGGCACCCAAAGATGTCTTTATCCAAGGAGGTGCAGCAGGACTGGCAGGACACGTGCTGCGGGAGCTCAAGCAGCTCCATGGCTATGGGGTCTTCTCTCGGTACAGGGCAGTGCAGAGCAGGGAACACCATTGATGTTCTCGGGCAGCACTGAGACCCGTTCATGACAAACTCCTGTGAGGAAAGGCTGAGAGAGTTGGGGTTGTCCAGCCTGGCTCCGGGGAGACCTTATTGTGGCCTTTCAGTTCTTGAAAGGGGCCTATAAGAAAGATGGGGAGAGACTTCTGTGGGGTCTGTTGCAATAGGACAAGGGGTGATGGTTTTAAACCAAAAGAGGGAGATTCAGGCTGGACTTGAGGAAGAAATTCCTTACACTGAGGGTGGTAAAACCCTGGCTCAGGTTGCCCAGAGAGGTGGTGGATGCTTCATCCCTGGGGACATTCCAGGCCAGGCTGGGATATGGTTCTGGGCAACCTGATCTGAAGATGTCCCTGCTCATTGCAGGGGGTTGGACTGGATGAGCTTTAGAGATCCCTTCCAACCAAACCATTCTGTGATTCTACAGTAAGGCTGTAGTGTTAAATAAACACACTGCAAGAGGAGGGTGTTTTTGAGGTGCTCTGGACAAATTTGATGTGGTGTCTTTGAACTATGACAGCTAGAGGCTCAGCTGAAGAACAAACGTGCCACTTCTGCTCTGCTTTATTTGTGAGCTGAGTGCCAGGCTCTGAAGTGAGTGTGTCTGTCCTCTCGTGAAAGCATGGGATTGTTTTGTCCCACTTTTAGGTGGCTAAATGTGGGTCACAGATGCAGGACATATTAGTGTGACAATTTCAGGCCTGAAGGGACAGCATTGGCTATTGATGCCTGTCAGAGTGTGAAAGTCAGGACTTGTAGGTCAGCTGTTATTGATGAGCCTGATGCAAGTGTTGTTTAGAACCTCTGCTTTAAACAGAGAAATAGTTGGTTTCAGCTTATTCATTTCTGGGTGTTAATAAGAGGATTTGAGTTGGCTTTAGGGGAGAGAAAAAGATGCCTGCTTGTAAAAGAGATGTGGGATTGCCTGGGGAGAGCTCAGAAGTGGTACACAGTATGGTGCACCTCCTGGCTCTGGTTGGGAGCTGTGTCCATCTCAACACTTGTCTTGGTCCTGCTGTTCATGCCAAGACTGTGACCTTCACTTCGTCATCATCATCAGCTTCTGAGAGCTGGTGTGTGTCAGGGCCCCAGATGTCTTGTGTCCCCCTGGACTGTGTCTTGCTCCGTTACTGAGCAGCAGGACAAAGATCCGTGATGGGTTGTGTTGCTCACACTGGCTCCCAGCCAGGCAGGGCTTCAGTGGCATCCAGTGGCTCTGAGAGCTGAAGAAAGGAGGTCCTCATCTAGAGAGTGGGGTTCCCCCTGCCTCAGCCTGAGAGGCTGGTCCTCCAGACACTTCCAGGCTGTAAGCACTGTTGTATGGGCCCTTCATTCCAAGAGGGACATTGAAGTGCTGGAGCAGGGCCAGAGAAGGGCACTGAAGCTGGTGCAGGGCCTGAAGCACAAGTGTGATGAGGAAGGGCTGAGGGACCTGGGGGGTTTAGTGTGGAGAAGAGAAGGCTTAAGGGGGACCTTATCGCTCTCTACAACTGCCTGACAGGAGGATGGAGCCAGGAGGGGGCTGGTCTCTGCTCCCAAGGAACAAGGGATGGGACAAGAGGAAATGGCCTCAAGCTGCACCAGGGCAGGTTTAGATGGAGCTGAGGAACAATTCCTTGCCCAGAGGGTGCTCAGGCATTGGAACAGGCTGCCCAGGGCAGTGCTGGAGTCACTGTCCCTGCAAGTGTTCACACCCCGGGTAGCCAAGGCCTCAGTGCCAGGGGTTAGTAGTGGCCTTGGCAGTGATGGAGTAAAGGTTGGACTGGATGAACTTAAAGGTCTTCTCCAACCCAGCTGATTCTGTGATTCTGTGACATGATCATGTAATTTTATGACTGAGACTGATCTTTCTTATGTCTGAGAGGACAGAGGGAACAAAACTATGTGGATAACTCTGTTACCTGCCTGTTTTCTACAGGAGCAGGAATTAGCAGGGCCTGAACACGGGACAAGTGAATTGAATTCGAATCTGCAACAGAGTGTTATTGGGTGACCTCAGAGTGTTTGTCCTCCTCCCTTACCTGCCTCTGCAGCTCTGACAGGAGCTGTAGTGTGCATTGCTGGGCTGGCATCAGGAGGCAAAATCCCTTTAAGAACCTTTTAGGAATGAAAGTGGAAGCTGTGATAACTGTACTTTTTACTATCCTTACCTGCTGTTGTCCTGGGTGGGCCAGTGGCATGAACTGCTGCTTCAGTGGCAGGTACAAAACACAACCAGCACTTGTGGGGGGGTTGGAGGGTGCTGCAGGCACTGCTCCCGGCTCTGGGTGAGATCACAGTGCCTATGGGCAGATCTGCAGAGGGCTGCCCCTCTGGGCTTGCAGCCAGCCCGCTGACACTGCCAGACTTGCATGCCCTGGACAGCAAGGCTGTGCTGGTGAAGCCCAGTGTGTGGGAGCAGTCTGGGGGGGACGATCAGCCTGTCTCTTTATCCTGAGTGTATTATATGTTTGTATCCTGCAGGTCATATTGATCATGGACAGTGAAGAAATCCCAACTTTCTCGAGTCCAAAGGAGGAAACTGCATATTGGAAAGAGCTTTCCTTGAAGTACAAACAAAGGTACTGTTGGATATTCACAGGCTGGATTTGGTTCTTAGTGCCCAGAGCATTGTTTAATCTCATTCTCTCCAAGGCCACACCAAAGTGGGTATTAGACAAGATCTCTGCATTTCCAGCCTGGTGGGAGCTGAGGGTTTCTGGCACAGTGTTACCATCCCATGAACTCTAGGCTGTGTTTTGAGCATGTCTGAGCAAGAGCAGAACTCTTTCGCCATCATGCGCATCTTTGTATAATTAAAGTGCTGCCTTAAATAGTATCTTGATGTTTTATCATGGAAGGTGCCTTTGGACTGGCTGTGTATGATTACTGTTCCCTTGAGCTTCTTGTAGTGGAATTACTGGTATGAGAAGTGGCTGATTTGGTGTCTGCTGCAATTTATTGAAGTGTGTTGTACCTCATAGTCCAGCCTGTACCAGGGCTCTGTACCTGTTAGGGGGCACAGGGCTTTCAGGCTATGGAAAACAACTAGGGAGGTTGCTGCCTTGTGCGATGCTGTGCTGCTTCTGGGGTGGGGATTGTTTGGGGATTGATTTTGCAGTGGGGGGCATTGGAGGCTCCCTGTTCATTTTCTTTGCAAAGCTTGCCTTGCATTCAGTGTTACTCAGGTGTCATTGAAGTGAAGCCAGTTGGGCCTCTCCCAAGCCCAAGGTGTAAGTTGTTATTTTGCTTGGTTTTGGGGGGAAGGCATTGGGCACATGTCCATGTGGAGAACCCCAAGTCTTGGGTGTAAGAATGTTCTGTCTCAGACACCAGTGGACATGCTGATTCCTAAAGCCTTGTTCATTTTCTCGGCTGTTTGCTAAGAGCTGAGCTATTATGTATGCTAAAGATGTGAAATTAATAAGAAAAGTATGTGGAGTGGCTCCTTCTAGCCATTACTAATTGGCAGTGGTGTCAGGGAGGTGGGGGCAGGTCCTGCTGACGGGCTCAGCAACCCCAGATTCAAACCTTCACACTTTGCAAGAACCTTCAATTTCCAGGTACTGCAGACCCCCAGCAACTGATGTTCTCTCTTACAGGTCTTGACCAAAATGAGGTTAAATGTTTGCTGAATTCATTGACTCTCTCAAGGCTTTAGCAGTGGAAGCTAATGGAGTACAAAGCGGTTTTCAGACTCCCATGAATCCTGTAAATAGCCTTGAGACAAGTGCATATTCACACATGCATTTAATGTAGCTGTTTGGTTTGATGTAGGAGAATTAATTTCCTTTTATTGCTAAGCTTGATGTAATTTCTTCATTTCCCCATCTTTCTTTTTCCCCTCGGAGGTCTATGGATGACACTTCATTACTTTAAAACTCCTGTTTCTTTCAGTTTATTATTTTAGGAGATCTGTGGATGTTGTTTTAATTTGGGAGATGCTTTTCAACTGATGAAATCTTCTCCTTACAGCTTCCAGGAAGCTCGTGAAGAGCTGGCTGAATTTCAGGAGGGAAGCAGGGAATTAGAAGCTGAGTTGGAGGCACAGCTAGTGCAGGCTGAGCAGAGAAACAGAGATTTGCAAGCAGATAACCAAAGACTGAAGTATGAAGTGGAAACATTAAAGGTAGGTCTTGCATGTAATAGCATTGCTGCTTCTTACAGATATGTGTTGGATCTCTATTTGTTGTCTGTTCTGTTCTTGATCACTGAATATCCAACTGAAGTAAAGGAGCTGTCTGTTTAAGATCCACACTTCACTGTGGCAGGGGCTCTAAATAAGGCCAGCCACTTCCCAGGGAAATTTCTGGTGGATTTTTTCTTGTTCACATCATGAAACTTTCGTCATGGAGTTTGTTTGAATTCTCAAGGCTTTGCCAAGCAGTAGTTGTATTAGTTACACAAACAACATTAGCACAGCAACAGGAGGGCAACACAAGCAGGTTATGTCAGAGCACTGCGATGTCATTCTTTGCAAACTAGCTGTTCTATCCAGAAGGTCTCCTTGGCTTGATGAGACCTTGAAGAAAAGCTGAAGATGAGTGATTTGTGCACATCCTTCAGAGAGAATCTCATTCATTCTGAACAGCCATAGCTGTGGAGCCAGGAATTGCATAAGCATATGCATGTGCAGAAGGTAACTTGTAATTGATGCCTCTTTGTTAGCAAGCTCTTGCTTATTTTGGAATCCTGGAGAAGCATCATGTTTTGTATTCTTGGGTTATTTTAGTGAAGGCAAAGCTTAGCAATTTACCCAGGGGAAGTGAAACAGGGGAACTTTAGGTTAGATATAAGGAAGAAGTTCTTCACAGTGAGGGTGGTGAGGCACTGGAATAGGTTGCCCAAGGAAGTTGTGAATGCTCCAACCCTGGAGGTGTTCAAGGCCAGGCTGGACAGACCCTTGGGTGACATAGTTTAGTGTGTGGTGTCCCTGCTTATGGCAGGGGGGTTGGAACTAGATGATCTTAAGGTCCTTTCCAACCCTAACTATTCTATTATTCTGTGATTCTATGATGGAATTACTTGTTCGTGTATCCAGTCCCAGCTACAGCTGAAGGTCAGGGTGTGTTTGATAAGGTGAGCAGTTTTTCCATAAGCCCCTCTCTGTACCCTCAGAGCCAGTGAGTGTGTGGTTGGGAGTGAATTCTTGCAGTCTTTCACAGATGAGCTTGTGGACCTGCAGGTTTTGTAACACATTTCAGTGGCTCTCAGTTTTGCTAGTGGAGATGTCAGTCAATTTCTGGTGACAGTGTGGCAGTGACAGTCAAGGGAGGGGAGGCTGCACAGTTGGGTTTCTGTCTGGCTTCCTACACGTTTAAGACTTCAGAGCAGCTGTCGGTGCAGGCTGTGGGGAGCAGATGCAGGGCTTCATCTCTGTTGTGATGAGATGCCTGTGCACAATGCAGTGTTTGTCACCTTGCACTGTGTCCAGCTCGCCTGCTCAGAACGTGTTCCCTCTGCCTCTCCGCTTACTGCTCTGCATTGCCAGCAATCCCAAATCAGCAGACTGCAGGGAGACTGCAGGGAGGATGTTCCTTTGTCTCATTTCACTGCTGCTGACTTGGAGAGTGTATGTGACTAATGTTTAGCTCACGACTTTTTTCTTTCAGGAGAAACTGGAGCACCAGTATACACAAAGTTACAAGCAAGTGTCGTGTTTAGAGCATGACCTGAGCCAGACACGGGCTATTAAAGATCAGCTGCATAAGTATGTGAGGGAGCTGGAGCAGGCCAACGACGACTTGGAACGTGCCAAGAGGTGAAGGCTGCAAACCTCTTCCTTCCTTAAAGTTTTCACTAGTCTTTTCTTTGCTTCTCAGATTGATCATTTTACTATTCCTCAAAAGGGAAAAGAACAAACATTCAAAAAACCCCAAACATTCAAAAAACCCCAAACAAATCCCAAGACGTGATTCTTTGAACAGTGCAGTTTACCCTCAGAATCATCTTGTCAGGTGATAGCTTTGTTACAGCAAGGAGGGCAGCTCTTTGTGTTCCTGTGAGAAACAAGCAGGCTCAGAGCAAGCCAGGCCACTGCACTGCTTTTGATAGTACCAGCTAGGTGGCTCTTGTATTTGTGATCCTTGTAGCTCAAAGCCCCTTTGAAATAAGAAGCTGATGCTTTACATAGTCCCTTTCAAACAAAACAGGCCAAAGGAATCTTCTTTTCCTTGCACAACAGCTTAATGACTGTAGGGAACAAATGTGTCCTTTATAAATGCATAAAATGAAGAGGCTGCAGTTAGAAACACCCAGTTTGAGAGTAGATCATGCTTCTGTTCTGCTGAATGGGAATTCTG